TATGTATGTATGTATGTATGTATATATGTATGTATGTATGTATGTATGTATGTATGTATGTATGTATGTATGTATGTATGTATGTATGTATGTATGTATTTTATGTATGTATGTATGCATGCATTATGTGTCGTTGTCAGTGTTTGCGTGTCTCCCCTGCAATAGAAAGTAATTGCAAATAAGACTTTTCCTTCATGAGAAAATATCCCAAGCTGCGAGGACTATTTGCTTGTTCACCAATTTACTTCTGAACGTTAGAATGGCACTTTAGTCTGACAACATTAGTATGGGATTCAAGTCCGAATTAGCTTGTGAACCGTTAATTAATGACAGTCCACCTATTGCTGTTCAGAGACAAACTCTTGTATATGAGAAAGAGTGGGACAGCCAGTTGCAACATTAGTTTGGGGGAATTGCAAAGGCTCGGTCCCTCTCGGTCCCCCTCGGTCTCCTGTTCGGTCCCACTCAGTCCCTCTCGGTCCTCCTCGGTCTCCTGTTCGGTCCCACTCGGCCTTCTGTTCAGTCTCTCTCGGCCCCTCTCGGTCTTCTGTTCAGTCCCTCTCGGTCCCCCTCGGTCTCCCTCGATCCCTCTCGGTCTTCTGTTCGGTAGGAGAATGGAGGCTGCAGTCGAAGGGCAAAGAGGCAGAAGTATCTGATTTATTCGGAAAGCACAATCTTTACGAGGAAGGACCCCGTGTTATGTCGGTTTTGGAGCCGAGCATAATGTGGCCACGACGGAAAGAAATCATTTGTTCGCAATAATCCGCGTTTGAAAGGACGGGAGAGAGCGGCACAAAGGGAATATGTGAGGCATGATAAAGGCAACGAACCAGTGTAAAGTTACCGTGCATGAACCGCAATTATACGGGTTTAAGCGCACCGGATAAATACAGTTATACAGCCCGGAGGAGCTCTTGGCCTCCCCCAAATCCGTCTTAATGAGGAAAGAGGGGGTCGGCCGTGATTAGCCTCCTCCTCCTCTTCTTCTTCCTTCTTCCTCCTCTCCCGTTTGTCCTCTTGTTTGTTTCCCTGTGGCTGTCAGGAAGCTAGTGCAAACATCTACCGGATACACCTACGCCTACACTAGCGCACGCGCACACACTCACACACACACTCACACACACACACACACACACACACACACACACACACACACACACACACACATATATATCATTTGCATCTCGCACCCCCAAACGCAACTTGCCCCCAGACCTAACTCCCCCGTTTCCTCCCGCAGCGAACTCCCAGCCCGCGGGGTTCCCCTACTTCCGCACGGAGCCCAAGACGAAGGCGGTGGAGATCGACCACACGGCGCTGCTGGTGTGCGACGCCCGAGGCAACCCCGACCCGGTCATCACCTGGTACAAGGACCACCGGCCGGTCGACCTCACCAACCAGCGCTACAGCGTCCTCCGCTCCGGTAAGTACCCGCTCGTGACGTTCCTGTAGGATCTGGAAGGACGCTGATCATTCGTTTGCAGGATATGGGGGGGGGGGGGTTGCAGGATTCGTCGTCGTCAAGGATGTTGGATTTCTGTCCGGGATTTTTTACAGAGGGAGAGAAGGAAGAGTTGAGCTTGGGGAGTAGGGGTGGAGTGGGGAGTGGAGGGTGGGTAGGGGAGGAGTGGATGGGAGTTGGAGGAAGGTTGGAGATTATTATTATTATTATTATTATTATTATTATTATTATTATTATTATTATTATTATTATTATTATTATTATTATTATTATTATTATTATTATTTTGTTCCTTGGGCCTCGGAAGGGAAGCCCCGAGACGGCCGCCGCTAGGTTTTGCTCGTCGGGCGCGTCGTGTAACAAGGCTTCCTCCTTCCTGCCCCAATTAGGGAGGCTAGCGAATTAGTGCTCGGGTTTAGCGCCTTCCCGCGAGACGAGGCGCAGGTGTGGGCGGCGATGGGTGATGGGTGGGTAGATGGGCGTGTTGGATGGGTGATAGGCAAGCGTGGGCGGGGTGGGGGAGGGGGAGGAAACGTCGACTGCTGTGAGAAATAGGGAGAGTAAAAGGATAACATGGGAAGAGGGGAGAGAGGGCAACACTAGATGTTGGAAGGAATGTTGGTTGTTGGAAAAGATGTTGGAAGTTGGAAGAAATGTTAGATGTTGGAATGAATGTGAAGGTGAAAGCCGTATTGTCGCGGGGAAGACGGACATGTAAGCAGGTAGACAGGAGGAGAGAGAGAGAAGGAAAGGAAGAAAGAAGGGAAAAGAGGTTGGAATAAGTCTAGAATTATAGAAAACGTTTGCCCATTTCCTTCACCCTCGCAGTGCAAAAGATGGAGAATGCACAAAAGCAACTTAGTCAGTCAGTGAACAAAGAAAGAATAAAAGAGGAAGTACTTTAAACGATAAAAGGAGGCCAGCCTGACGGACAGTTCATCTCTATTCCGTCCTTCCCTATCCCCCTTCCCCCTCTCACTCTCTCTCTCCCCCCTCTCCCTCTTCCTTTCCCCGACTTCCCCACCTCCCTCTCCCTCTTCCCCCTCCTCCCTCTCTGTCTTCCCCTTCCTCTTCCCCTCCTCCTCCTCCTCTCTCTCCCTTCCTCCCTCCCTCTCCCCCTCCCTCGCCCCCTTACCGAACTACAATCCCACTAAAACTCTCCTACGAGCCTTGAGGGAGTCCCGAGCCGCCCACAAGACTACCGCGGCTGTCCATGACCCCGCCCCCCCTTTCCCATCACCCCCCCCCTCCACCTACCCCTTTAAACTCTTTTCTTCGCCCCCCCCCCTCTTCCTCTAAAATGTTTCCCTTTTCTTTTCTTTCTTTTTTTGTTCTGTTGTTGGTATTTTTTTTCTTTTTGGGGGGTGGGGGTAGGGTGGGTTATCGTTCAGTGGAGTTTTCTTTTTTGTCAATTTTAACTTCAAGATTTGATTATCTGTTTGTACCTGCTGAAGCGCCCATCTCCTGTTGTTTCCAGCGCCAGTGCTTCTCCTCCTGCTCGTCCTCCTCGCTTTCGTCGTCTTCTGTTTCTCTTCTTCTCTTCCTCTTCCTATTCTTCTCTCCCTCTCCTCCCCCTCCTCCTACTTTTCCTTCTCCTCCTCTTGTTCCTCTCTTCCTGCTCCTATTCCCCCTCCTCCTCCTCCTTTCCCTTTACCTTCTTTTCCTCCTCCTTCTATTCCTCCTCCTCCTCCGTTCTCCGTTCTCCGTTCTCCGTTCTCCGTTCTCTTATTCTTCTCTTCCTCCTCCTGTTCCCCCGCCCATCGCCCGCCACCGCCGCCGCTACACCACTCACATTACACTTTTCCCTCGTTACTCCGGCGTGGTAATGAATGCTTATGTGCGCACAATGAGGGGTTGGGTATTGTCTGGGATGAGGAGGTGGAGGTGGAGGAGGGGGAGTGGAAAAGGGGGAGGTAGGAGGTGGAGGGGGAGGTAGGAGAGGGAGGGGGAGTGGAAAACGGGGAGGTAGGAGTTGGAAGAGGGGGAGGTAGGAGGTGGAAGAGGGGGAGGTAGGAGGTGGAAGAGGGGGAGGTAGGAGGTGGAGGAGGGGAGGCAGGAGGTGGAGGTGGAAGGGGGGAGGTGGAGGTGGGGGAAGTGGAAGAGGTGGTGGTGGAACATTAGGTGGTAGAAGAGGGGAAGGAGGAGGATATGAAAGTGGATTAGGAAATGTGGGAGGAGGAAGAGGAGGAGGAGGTGAAAGTGGAGTAAGAAATGAGGTAAAAGATAAAACCGCCGAGGGAGGTGGAGGAAGTGGAGAAGGGGAGACGAATGGGAATAGAGAATCGGGAAGAAAAGGATTGAGGAGGAGCGAATATGACCGGCTAAGGGATCTCCATTTTGTCGAGTTTTCTTTTCTCTCTTTATTTATTTTCTTTCGTGGACGAGATGGGGCGGGTTATAGGGGGAGGGGGAAGGGGGAGTGAGGGAGAGGGGGAGAGGGGGAAGGAGGTCGAGCCTGGGGAGGAGTAAGAGGTACTTGAAGGTTTATTGCTGCCCTTACTTGACCGGCAGTGGCATTGGCGGATTAAGGGAGGAGGGAGGAAGATAGGAAGGAAGGAAGATAGGAAGGGGAGAGGAAGGGAGGAAGGGAGGAAGGGGAGGAGAAGGGAGGAAGGGAAGAAGAGGAATTTACGGGGAATGGGGAGGAAGGTAAAGAGGATATTGTGAGCGAATGGGGAGGAAGGGAAGAAGAAGAGTTTGAGAGAATTGGGAAGAAGGAAATAAGAAAAAATGCGAGAGAATGGGGAGGAAGGGAAGGGGAGAATTGTAAAGGAATAGGAAGAAAGGAAAGAGGTAGAAGAGGAGGAACAGAGACTGGGAGAAACAAGGGAAGTACGAGAGGAATATGAGAAGAGGAAGAGGAATGGAGAGGGAAAAAAAGAGGAAGGAGGAAGAGGGATATGAGAAGAGGAAGAGAGATGGAGAGAGGGAAAAAAGAGAAAGGAGGAGGAGGAATATGAGAAGAGAAAGAGGGATAGACAGAGAGAAAAAAGGAGGAGGAGGAGGAAGAGCGATGGAGATAGAAAAAAAGAGGAAGGAGGAGGAGGAATATGAGAAGAGGAAGAGGGATGGAGAGAGAAAAAAGAGGGAGGAGAAGGAATTTGAGAAGAGGAAGAGGGATAGAGAGAGAGAAGAAAAAGAGGAAGTATTAGGAAGAAGGAGATGAAGCTAGGATGAGGGAATGGAGAGCACAGCGCCGCTCAGACACGCCGTCTTAAATCGGAGCAAAGAGGAATAATGTTAACTCAGCTAATACGCGAGGCAAAGCTTCACAGGAGTCGATTAGAATAATGACAAAGACGCGGCTGTGTGTTCAGATAAACATTAATTTCACTTCGAAACAGAATTCTTAGACATGAATTTAGAAGAAAGAAAAAAAAAGAAAAACGGATGAAATAGTCGTATTTATGATGGATTTTCTTGCTTTGCTTCGCCGACTCTGCTGTCAAATGCTCCTGTATGTGCGCGGTCTGTTGGTAAAGCTGAATTTTTTATACCCTTTAAAAGTGCTTTTATATGTAATGCAAATGATTATCTTCACAGGGAAAGTTTTATTTTATTTATTATCTTTTGAAGGATAATTTTTTTGTGTTATGATATATATATATATATATATATATATAGAGAGAGAGAGAGAGAGAGAGAGAGAGAGAAGGAATGGGAGGAGTGGAGGGGAGTACGGGGGGGGAGGTAGTTATTGTTGAGCTTTGAGCGCCGAAATGGACCCTCGTATAACTTCGTATAATGTATGCTATACGAAGTTATTGTGTCTCTCTCTCTCTCTCTCTCTCTCTCTATATATATATATATATATATATATATATAGAGAGAGAGAGAGAGAGAGAGAGAGAGAAGGAATGGGAGGAGTGGAGGGGAGTACGGGGGGGAGGTCGTTATTGTTGAGCTTTGAGCGCCGAAATGGACCCACATAGGCAGCATGTCATCGGCATACATAGGCGCAAGGATAATTAGATTTGACTCACATGCTTAATTTAGTAATGGCATGCCGATTTAATGAAATGATTGCATAACGTTGAAATCCTTATTGATGAATGGGATGGAGCTGTTTATTCACTTTTCAACATATCGACATGACTTGTTTTTATTTGGCTCGGAAATGATACACAATCACTTTTTTTTTTTTTTTTTTTTTTTTTTTTTTTTTGAGGGGGGGGGGTGAGAGAATTAATTCGGCGATATTGATTGCGGTTTTATTGCAGTACATCAGAGGATATCCTCCTCATTATATTTGCATATTTGGTTGTGCTAGACTGGTTTACTTTATGCGAGGATGAGGGAAGGGGGGGGGGTGAGGGAGAGAGTAGGTGAGTAGGTGAGGGAAAGACTAAGAATGAGATTGAGTGTGTGAGTGTGAGTGTGAGTATGAGTGAATGAGTGAGTTAGTGTGTGTATGGGAGAGAAAAAGAGAGAGGTTACTAGCCTGAGGGTGAAGCATAAATGGTTGAGGAAGAGAGAGAGAGAGAGAGAGAGAGAGAGAGAGA